CGTAGATATTTTAACCCAAACTGCAACTAAAACTAGTTTTGTTTCCTAAACCTAACCAAGTATTTCATGATCGGGATAGTTTGGGTCAGTTATTAATTGTAGGGTTGGTGGTTTGATTGACAGCTCTATATGTCAAGGTGTCTTTGATCAAGACACTGAACTCCAAATTGCCTCCCAAATGTAGGTCACAGGACTGTTACCCTGTGTGTTTACTAACCTGTAGTGACAGAACTTAACTCTGGACAAAGTGGAGCAATGGAGATACCAGGTGGTGAATTCATTTAAATGTACAGGGGACCGCTATTTACAACAGCACATTATCAAAAATCAATCACATTGTCTCTTTAATCCCACTGGAAAGAAAACTAAAACAAAGTGAAATCATTAACACTTTTATTGGCCTCCCAGAGTAAATAAATCCACATTTGGCACGATTAATGCGGTTTAAATAAAGTAAATTTGTGGGCCAAGGTGAAAGAGCTCATTATCCTTTTTCATTAGTGGTGTAGTCCAGGAAGTGGATCCCATCATTCTCAATAGCAATTACTACGTTTGTAGTTGAAGTACTTCCTACTATGGTAAATTCAAGATGCTGCTAGGAAAGAACTGTTGAACAACCAACAGTGGATACGGTGGGCATGCTGTGGGTCAGAGTGATATACCTTTGCATGTGCCTCAAGGCGACTAGTTCCCACAGATGGAATACAAAACTCTATTTCGTTTCACAAGTTAAATCTTTTCCCCTGAAGATGTCCTTTTACTGCAAAATAGTCACCCGAGTTTCCAAATACAGACAGCATTTTCTCCAGACAAGACCAGGCGTCTGTCTGCTAACAAGTTCTTAATTATATGAGGATTAATTCTGCTGGGATCAATGCCGACAGGCATGGACGGATCCCCCAAATATGCTGTTGTACAGTCCCACAGCCACAAGAACACATCGCTCACAAGTATCTCAATTTGCAAATGGAAATGTAAATATGAAATTATTCATTCATTAGGGCTTACAGGACTAACAAGAAATGCAATATTCATAAATGGACTGGAATAAGTTGAAGGTGTACCATTTGCATGTCTTCAGCAGCATGTTGAAGAGATTGTTTGGGACTTTTTTCTCTGAGTTCTATGACTCAATACTGATTCAACACAATATGCTTAGAGTTCAAGTGGCTATGTTGAGAGAGAACCACTTCTAAGCAACAGCAATATGTGTCTAGAACCCAACAAGGCAAACAATTTAGCAAGTGGGTAACGTGATGCAGGAAATACAAAGCCATGACAGTGGAAAAATACATTTTCCTCATACATTATCAAATTACAAAGACAAACATGACAGACATGTGACTAAACTTACAATACATTTGTTTTTCATCCACCACAACATGAACGTCCATGGCCTCTGCCGTTTCTGACAACATCACATCACAACTCATGAACTCTGAGCTTTCAGAAAATGTCCACAAACAAGGTTGTGACTACCCCAAGAGGGGGGGGCGCTCATATGGACTCTTCTCGTGAACACAACCCCATTTGAAGGCAGCAATTTTCTCCTCTGATATACAGCTATGGCCAGTGTTGGGCTCCGGCAAGTTACTTGAAAGATTGAATCAATTACTCATCATTGAAAATGTACACTTCTTCACAAATGACTCACCAAAACATTGTGGTTTAACAAGCAGCCATCAACAGCTAGCTTTACATTAGCTGGAAGTCCTGTCCTTACTGTGAAGCCCCAATTTCCCGCCATCTCTGAACAAAACCCACTCTGGAACTGCTTAGGCTAAGTAATGGCTAACGTAAAGGAAGCCAGCAAAGAAGATATCATGTAAATAAGACAATTTTCGGTGCATTTATCTTTTGGCAGAGGCAAAATTAAAATTGATATTAACCCTCCATCAAACTCCCGGTGAGACAGCAAACAAGCTCATAGCCTAACTGTCAAAGTAACAGCATTACTGGGAGTGGGATGAGTAACTGTAATGGCATTACTGAGTATCAAAGTGTAAGCCGTTACAGTAAACATTCCTGGGGAAAAAAGTGATTACATTACTGCAACATCTCACGAAGTAGTGTTAACCCAACACTGGTTGCGGCTAATGTGTTAGCATATGCAGCAGGTAGACAAAGAGCAATATTAGCTTCCATTTGGAGTTTGAACACTCTCCGCTTTGCTGTCTCCACCAAACCCTAAAAAAAAAAAAAAAGCATCTGGCTCTGTAGTGTAGTATGTTCCACTGCCTTCACCAGCTAGGCGCCAACTCTGTCTGTCATTTGATGTAGTGCACAGTTGGTTTATCAGTTCTTGGCTAAAAACAGTTGCTGTTTTAGGTTGATGAGAGCACCGACACTGAACCAAACAGCTGAAGACAAAATGCTCCATAGAGTGAGATAATTACCTGCCACTGGGACTCACCTCTTTGACAGTGCAATGCTCATTTGATTCATTTTAATATTATCAAAAAAAGATGTATAAATGTAAGAAGAACTGCATTGTACAACAGCCACAGCTGATGAACACAGATACCATAGGTGGTTAAAGAAACTCCTGTACAGTAAAATGACTTCATCAAAAGTACTCATTAAGCAGAGTGGAACCTGTCAGTGAGATAGATAGATAGATAGATAGACAGATAGATAGATAGATATCAGCAGCTGTCTCGGTAAATTATTCTGTAGTATTCTCAATAAAAGAATACTACATTTCCTTGACGAGAATATATATATATATATATATATATATATATATATATATATATATATA